CGGTCGGTGACCACAATCTGCTGACAACACCGCAAACCGCAGACCAGTTGTGCGGACACACGTGTCGACCATCGCTGGAGTGGCAGTCAATGGACGCCAACGTGTTTTCGGTGAGTATTTTTTGATGACTCAAGTCTTACGCAACGGTTGTCCTCATTATTGGATCCGCTTTTGTCGTCGCTATTGAAGGTATCGATGGCTAAAGAGTTGTCCCAAAACCGGGCTTTGGCTCAAGATATGGACGAACCGGAAGATAATTTCGACACTTTTAACGACGAGACGTTTGGAGCGATGGACTCAACCGATTGGGAGTCAGAACACGAGAAGTTGACGTCTCTATCGGTTCCCAACGACCACAACGACAGCCATTCCGACAGTAATAGGAGCTATAGTTTTGTGAAGAACTCGACTTTCGCCGAGAGTCGAGCCGAAGATGACATGCGTTTTGGTTACGAGAATATTGTTAAAAGTATATCCAATTTGGGTCTCGAAGACGAAGACTTTGACGATCCGGCGGTTATGACGTTCGGCAGAAGCGCTAAACCGTTGGGCGGAGACACGAGTCGACGGGACAGCCGGTCATCGCCTCCGCCGCCGGCTATCCTTTCGTACGAAGAATACTCGGCTTCACCTAAAACTCAGACCATTTGGAGCGCAACTCAATTAGACTCAACTCATAAGCCGACCAATACTTCTACGAATATGAGGACATTAGAGGAGATCGAAGACAATATGATTAATAGAAATAATAGCCATTCGTTTCCGTTGTCGACAATCAAGAGACCGATAAGAATGGAGGACTTGGAGTCAAATATGATTAATGAGTCAAATAATAGTCATATGACCAGTAATCAGATGCCGGTGCCGGACAATGGGTGGTCACCCTTTGCCGCCAATTCAATGCAAAGCTTTATACAAAACGGCAGAATTGGTTCAGAAATGATGCCAAATGTGGAGACAATAGAACATAATTTATTAACTAATGAGTCGCCGAATCGGCACAACAGTATCGA